TTTTTTTTTTTTTTTTTTACCATTTCTTTTCTCCTTTGAAGTGATTTTAGCAATCAAACATTGCGAAGAAAACAGAAAGAGCAGTTCTACTTGCAAGAAAGAGAAGTCTAGACCCGCGTGCGACTTGGAGGGTTCTCTCAGTCTCTGGGGCGCCCGCCCGCGGCTCTGGCAGGCTCGACGGAAGCAGAAGCAGATCCGCCTCTCACACCAGCCAGCACGCGGGCGCTCGCGCAGCGGCCAGGCGGAGGCCCCTGCGGTCCGAGCCGCGGAAAGACCCCTCCGGCCCCCCGGTCGGCCACAGCCGCGAACGCGTCAGCGATCAGATAACCCAAATGGAGGGTGGCGGGGTGTCCTGCCCTGCACCCCCTTTTGAAGGGAACCCCATGTCAAAACGGGAGGCACAGCACAGCTTGAAGTAGATAAAAGGAGAACGACGGAGCCGGAGCACCCTGGGGCACCTCCCAGGAATCCCGGGCAAGTCAATCAGCAAGCGCCACGCTGCCAGACTCCGAGACGGCCGGCGACCCGCCTCTCAGAACCCAACGGGCACGGGGGCCTGCCCGAGGCTCAGCTGGCGGCCCAGGCAAGGGCTGAGGCCCAGTGCATTCTGCATTTTTCTCTACGATCAACACCTTCCTTGCGGCTGTTTACGGATGGAAGACACCAAGACACAGCCACTCCCCTGGATTACTCCTCCGCGTCTCGGCATCTAGCAGAAGGTGCACGCGAAGTGTTTGCAGCTGCGGGGGCCCGGGAGCAGCTTCTCAGACGCAGGTCCCACAATACAGACAATAAATCGTGATCTCTGACTCCAAGAAAGACAGGCCCGTGGGGACAAATCCATTTAAATGAAGGCTGGCGGGAGGGGGCGCTGGGCTTGGCCGGCTGGGGAAACAAAGCCAGGAGGCGGCAGCCGGCTCGGCTCGGACGGGGCCGGAGCTCCTTACAGGGAAGCCGCGTCGTGTGAGCAGCCCATCTGCTAATTTATCATCTGAAGTCACCAAAGCTGTGCGTTCTTGTTAGCACGGAGCCTTAATGAAATCGCGTTAAGAGCTGATGTGTCTCCCGAAGTGGTGATTCCTGAAGGGAATTGAGAAGTACAAAGCTGCTTTGTTTGGGCTCCCCGCAGAGACCTGCTGGCCAGGGGGCCGGAGCAGAGGGGCCCAGCAGGCCGCACCACAGCCATTAGCCAAATGATTGACTATGCATCAGCCCCATGGTGGAACAAAGTAACTGTAATAGCCCGGTCACCGGATCAATGCTTCCCGGTTTAAAAATAAACATTAGCATTTATCTATCAGCAGAAAACTATTATCCCACGGCCCTGTTTTATTCGACTGCGATCTTTTAATCAAAGCAATCTGCATGGTGGAAGCCTGCCAAGGTATCACAATCGCACATATTTACGGCAGGTGGATAATAGCTGCTTTCTGTTGCTGGCTCCTTCCTCCTCTGCCGCAGTCATTCTCTAATGAATTAATTCCACTAAGAGGGAATCCGAAGTAATTCTCTCAAGGAGGCCACCTCCCCTCCGCCAGGCGCGACTTTGCTCCGCTCCACCGCTCCTGGGGCCCCCGCAGCCCAGTTCTTCAGAAAACCTCTGCACTGGAAATGAATGACCATGAAACCGTAATTTTCAGGGCTGTAGCTACAGCTCCCCCACCCCCAGGTCTAGGCCCTGGCACAGGGGGTGCCCGGGCACCCCTCCGGCGTGCCTCGCCCGCGGGCTGGACTGCACTGGCGGGGTGGGGGTGCAGGATGGGGGAGAACTCACTGGCGATCCATGTCAGAGCCTTCCGGCCTGCCTCTCCCAGCTCCTTGTTGGGGTCTCCTGTTACCAGCTCCCCTCGATTCCCCAGAGTAGCGCGGCCCCAGGAGAGGTGACACCCATCCTCACGCCCCACCCCGCCGCTCGTCATGGACATGATGGGGCCGTGGCGAGCTCGCGGCCGCTCCTGGGCCAGGCTGGGCTTCGCGCCCCAGAGCCCCCACGTAACCCCGGGGGCATCAGGCTGAGCACCTGGGGCACTGAGACAATGCACAACGCACTTTTCTCCACCTCTGCGGTGTGTGTTTGGGGGGGGCGCCCCGGCTACTTGACCTTGAGGGCTCCCGCGGCTTCATCTCCCCTGCAAAACGGAGCCTCAGACCTCAGCGAGGAGGCTGAGTGGGGGGCTCTGCGACCCCCTCCCAGAAAGGTTTAAAGACAGACTCCCACATGGGCCAGGGAGGCTTGGGGGACCCCACTTCACACGCAGCGGGGATGGGTCACCCGTCCTTGTGGGGGGCTTTCACGCACAGGTCCCCCTCTGCCCGTCTCTGGGGTGTTCACATTCAGCAGCGCTGACGTGGCGTCCCCTCCTGGGCTCTGGCCGGCTGCGCGTGATGACCGTCACAGGCGGGGGCACCCCACAAGCTCGCGGAGCCCGAGTGTCCACGGCTTTGAGGCCCAGGTGCCGTCTCTTAGTTTCCTCCCTTTAAAGCAAGAACCGCACGCAAGTCGTAACAGAAACGGGCCGTGGGCCGGACAGTGGCCCTGCACCTGGCGTGCACCTGGCGTCTGCAGACTGGTTTGCGCACAGGAGCCGCAGGCACCGCTTGGGACACGCCGGGCCCCTCGCAGACGGGCCTGCGCCACGCAGCTTGTCCTCCAAGGGCCGCGAACGGCTCCTGAGCGCTGAGCCGCCACCGCGTTCCAGCTGACAGCTTGCGACAGCGGCTCTGGACCGGGATTTGTCTGCAAGCGGTCAGGTTTCCACGGCTCGCTGGAGGTTCTTCATTTCTCCCCCTTCTGTGTTATGTAGGTATAAGCCGTCTCTCTAAGCATAAACTGTCCAGTGGTAAAAATCAATTTTGATTTTATCAGTATTTATTACTGCTGGCGCTGGCCGTTTAGAAGACCAGAGAGAGAGCACGCAAGCGGGGAGCGGAGAAATGGAAGCAGGCCTCCACCTCCACAGTACAGCCCTGCCCTGCTGCTTTTCAGGGGAATTCTGTCTCACACGGGAGCTTGAATTGCAAATTTAAAATTCCAATCACTAGGAATTGCTGGGGCTGTGCTGCCGCTTAACATCTCTCGTATATTTACGAGCTGGGGCTACTGTTTCTATGGCAAAGGCGCCTCGAGCCAGTACCGGCGCACCCGCCTCCCTCCTCCGGACGCCATGCCCGGCCAGGCAGGCAGAGCCCTGGCCTCCTCTCTCGGCAGCTTAGAGGTCTTGAGTCCTTGACCCCAGGGCGCCAGGCCCGGCCACTCTTGCGGGTCTCACAGCCCGCCCGCCCACCCGCCCGCGAGCTTCCTCCTTCCACCTGCCCAGCCCCCACCCCCACTGGCGCGTGACAGCCCCGCCCCGCCGGTCCAGCCCAGCGCTTCCTTCTGGGTGGACAGCGGTGACGGTTCCAGAGCCGGGCTGGCAGGCTCCTTGGCCCGAAGGCAGTGGCGGTGCTGCGGCCGGGACTGGCCTCCCAGGCCAGAGCCCGGCGGGGTTGGTCGTTTCATCAGGACACGTGGTCGCACCCTTCGGGAGTCTGCAGACCCTGCCCCAGAGAAGGGGGGCCACACTGCGCCCTGTGGGGTCCTCTCACCCTCCTCCCGCCCAGCCCTGCCACGCTGGAAGCTGCAGGGAGCCAAGGGCAGAACCCTGTCTTGGCGCCCCCCTGCTCCTGGAAGCACCGCCCCCACCCCCCCCAGGGTACTGGGCTTCCTGCCTGCGGGTTTCACGGAACAGGAGCAGCAGGGACCCAGTCTCCTCCCCAGACCCGAGCGGGACCCACATGCAACCGGCTCACCCCGGGCCACGCCAGCAGGCGTCCGGACCCAGGAGAGGCTCCCTGGCACCGCGGCCCGAGATTCCAGCAGTCCGTTTTCCCGTGTCCGGCTGACGCCAACCCGAGACTGGCTGGACACACACTTCTCCCCGACAGGGCGTGTTTTTGTGGCCTTCCAACGACAGGGACAAACGGCAACCTCCTCTCCACCCCATCCGTGTAGCACACAGGACAAAATGACCAGAGAACACTTAATTTGGGGCTTTATTTTAATTTTTTTCTTTTATGATGCTACATAGTCAAACAGAATTGGTCTTTTGTGGCATAAAATGAATTCACAGTCAAACCCTCGATCACAATCGATGGACGGCGGGCGTGTCCCCCGCCCCACCGCCCGGCTGGACTAGCCCGAGGTCCCGCCACAGAAGCGCGCAGGGGAGGGGCGGTGGTGGCCGCTCTTCCCCGGAGAGGATACAGCGGTCGCGGGCCACGGCCAGGGCCGCCCCTCCCAGGCGCACCCGCTCTGCCCGCAGACGCCCGCAGCCGCCCCCCACTGCAGCCCCAGCGCGAGCAGCCACCTCGAGACAAGGAAACATGAGATGAAACGCAGTCAATAAGTTAAATAGGCATCAAACGTCTCTCGCGCAGTGGGGCCCGGGCCAGAGCGGGGGCGACCCAGGGGCCCGAGAGACGCGCCGACCCCACCCGGCGCCGGGTCGGTGGCCCGCGGCGTCGCCCGCGGGCCCAGCGTGGCTGGCGCTCGGCTTCCGCCCTGCCCCCGGGTCCCAGGGAGCTGCCCGCCGGGCAGAACACGAAGCAGCAGGCCGGGGTGCGTGTGGGGGTGAGCAGTGCGGGGCGACAGTGAGGGGGAGCCCCCGAGGGCCGGCGTGGCAGCGGGGAGCACGTCCTGGGGCGAGAGGTGCCCGGCCCGCGGCCGCACGTGCTTGCAAGGACACACATGCCAGCGTGTTCCCGCGGCTCCGGCCCAGACCATCCTTCCGTCCGTGCTGTACACCCTCAGCTTCCTGCAGGCGGCTGCTAGAGTAGCTGCGCGCGTGCGCACGGGCGCGGGGTCGGGGAGGGGTTAAAGGCAAGACCCGTGAGATGTCTCATACACCGATCTGTACACGTGGCTGCGGCAGACGTGGCTCCCAGGCGCAGGCCCACAGCCGCCACCGGCCCGAGCGCCCTACAAGGCGATCTTCCCGATGATGACCCCGACGATGAAGAACAGGACCACCAGCGCCAGCAGCCGCGAGCTCGGGCCCTCCTCCTTCCCCGCCGTGGCCGGCGCGGGCACGGGGCTGTTGCTGTGCGCGGGGGACTTCCTCATGCGGAGCCCGTCTTCTTCCTGGGGGGCAAGGGCACATTTCAGAGACAGTCGTGGGGCGGCGCGCCCTCCTGAAAAGGGAGGAACTGAAAGCGGCAGGAGGGACGGCCTCCGGCCCCCGCCCAAGTCCTCCCTTGCTCCTCCCCACGTCTCCCAGATGACCCTGTCCACACCCACCGCACCCACCGCCCCAGGCGCCCGCCCAGCTGACTCTGGGCCTCCCGGGGGAGCTCCCGCAGGCGCAGGGCCACAGCCGCACACGCCTGGCGCGGTCTGCTCCCCAGGCCGCGACGCAGCCGCGCAAGAAGGGCGCCCCCGGGGGGACCAAGGCCTGCAGCCCCACTAGGTCTCTGGCCCGTCGCCCGTCGCCTCACCCAGCACCTCACGGGCTCCTCCGGCCTCCTGGCCGAGAAGTGCCCGCAGAGACGGCGGCCTCTGCCCGGGGGGCCCGACCGCCCAAGGCTGGCGC